ACAGCCCTAGCCAGTTTGGCTCAGTGGATAGAGCATCAGCCTGCGGACTGAAGGGTCCCAGGTTCGATTCTGGTCAAGGGCATGTACCTTGGTTGCAGGTTCCCCGGTCAGGGTGTGTGTAGGAGGCAACCAATTGATGTATCTCTCTCACATCGATGTTTCCCTCTGTCTCTCCCTCTCCCTTCCACTCTCTCTAAAAATCAATTGGAAAAATATCCTCAGGTGAGGATTAACAACAACAGCAACAAAATTAAAAATATGTATATAATTTAAAAAAAAACAAAAAAACAAACAAATGATCCACAGACTTGAAGGCATTGAACCTGTCTGGAGGCTGCATTTTTCTTTTCTTTAAAAAGAAAAATATTCATTTATTTATATATTTTTTATATTGAGAGAAAAACATCAATTTCTTGTTCCTCTTATTTATGTATTCACTAGAGGCCAGGTGCATGAATTCACGCTTGGGGGGGGTCCTTCAGGGTGGCCTGCAGAGATCGGTCCCAGCTTGCACCCCCAGCCTCACAGCTCCGCAGCCCCGCCTGGCACCCCACCTTGGCCTGATGCCACCCCCTCACCTGCTCCACCATCCCGCCTGCGGGGCGATTGATCAAGGCCAGGGCCCCCGCCCCCACCCAGCTTCCTCAGCACCTGGGAGCTGGGCGGTGGCCCCGCACCCTGCTGCCACCACTGGTCGCCATCTGCAGGGCAATCGGCAGGGTGATCAGGCCCCCCGCTCATACCTGCCTTGGCCTGGTGCCACCCACTCACCTGCTCCACCATCCCACCATGGTCCCGCTCTCATTGGGGCCCATCGGGGCTGGCAGTGCCTCCACTGCTGCCAGTGCCGTGTCGCCAATACCCACTATGTTCCTCATCGCCCCCTGGTGGTCAGTGCTCATCATAGCAAGTGGTCAAACTCCTGGTCGAATGATGGCCTGAGGGGACAATTTGCATATTACATTATTATATAGGATTGGTTGATTCTTGTATGTGCCCTGACCAGGGATCAAACCTGCAACCTTGGCATATCAGGACAATGCTCTAATCAACTGAGTTACCCATCCAGGGCCAGAATAAATATTCTGCTAAAATAAAACCATTCAAAAGTCACTTTATAGGTTTGTTTTTAATGGTACTGTCTTATTCACAGTATCTCTCTCTTTTTTTTTTTTTTAGAGTAAGCCCCAGTATCCAAAGAGAATTACTTCCTTTCCTATCAGCAATGGCTCCAAAGAAAATGGAATCCATGAGGAACAAGATCAAGAGCCACAGGATCTCTTTGCAGGCAAGTATGGACTCAACACTTATACTAGGGATCTTCTAAATTACCGAGTTAAAGTAACCTTCCCCCTTCCTCTAGGAAAAAATACATCTGCATAATTAGGATTGTGAAGGATTCAAAATATATAAAACGCAGTCCCTGCCATCAAGATTCTTGCAGGTTTAGGGAATAAAACATAAATACATAGTTTCTTAAGAGCGTCAGTTAGACAAACTATTAAACAGTAATATAAATGTGACCAGAGGAATGATAGACATACTAAGGCATGGCAGCTCAGAGAGGTCTGAGATCAGACTAAAGCAGTGGCTTTACACTTTTATGACCAAGACTCATAGTAAGAAATATATTTTATTGTCATCATCCAAAATATATACTTACTGCCCAGCTGGCATGGCTCAGTGGTTGAGCATTGATCTATGAACCAGGGATCACAGTTCAATTCCCCGTTAGGGCACATGCCCTGGTTGTGGGCTCGATACCCAGTGGGGGGCATTCTGGAGGCAGCCGATCAATGGTTCTCTCTGATCATTGATGTTTCTGTCTCTCTTTCCCCCTTCCTCTCTGAAATCAATAAAAATATTTTTTTAAAT